CTCTCTTGAATAGAGTCTAATTCTATTGGCTTTCAAAAGCCAATAGGAATTGTCCAGGCTGTCTCTGCCCTGCTGAGCCCGCCAAAAGTCCCATTCTACAAACGGTGCTGCACCAGTTGAGTAGTCCTCAACTTACAACCGGTTGAGTAGTCCTTGACTTACAACCGGTTGAGTAGTGCTCGACTTACAACCGGTTGGGGGTCACGGCATTAAAAAGGTTGAGAACCACTGGACTAGGACAAAGCTTCAATGGACTGGACTACCCTGGAAGTTCGATTTGTGGTATCTGGATTATGTATTGCTACATTTTTATTCTGTTACTGCTGTTTCCCTCGTACATTCTTTGGAAGAAGGAAGGATGCTTCAGACCATGGATCCAACACTTGCCTTAATATGTTTGACCCTCAGGATGGCTCAATGTTCCAAAACCGGCTTGCAGAATCAAGGGTGTGAACAATGTATCACACTTACCCAGCATAAGGGACAGACTAGCAAGACACTGATTTATCACTCCTCCTACGAGTGTAAAAGAACAAAAGGGAGTTGTGTTTATAACAAAACTACATATTCCACTTGCAAAATGGGGGATAGGGTCACTTGTTATGATCCTGTCAATATAGTAAAGCCCTACCAACAACTTCAAATCTGGGCATATGGAAGGACACACAGACAATACCTCTTGCAAAAGAATGACAAGAGACTTATGGGTAGTGCCAGTGTCTGCTTTGATGTATGTAAAGCTATTGACTATAATCAACTTAGTGTGGAGCGCTAGGGCAGAGACAGGCCTACTCATTTAACACCAAACACGTCTGTACATCCTACCATGGCTACAGTTTTCCACCGTGTCTGAGCTGGAACCCTGTAAAGTGGTATACAGGGGTAACCCAATCTAGCACAATCGAAGGAAAGTTCAATGTAATTAAAGGAATCAGTACTTCCCAGTGCAATGGTGATTCCTGCAACCCGTGTGCTTCGAGATAACCAGACCAGCAGACTTCTCAGCATTATTTGGACTAGCTATCAATGAACCAGAGCAGACCCCTGTACGCAGATATATGTTCAAGTTGACACTATTATACCACCGTCCCAGAAACATTTTCAAGTTTTTCACTCTTTTTACGATGAATTGGAAACCACAATTGAGATTCCCTCGGTAGCAAAGAACCTTTTTATTGATCTGGCCAAAATAATTGCTTCATCTCTAAATATAACTAATTATTACGTGTGGGAGGGACGTGCCTGGCTAAGGAATTCTGGGAGTTGAAGTCCATGAGTCATAAAAGGGCCGAGTTTGAAGTCCCCTGCTCTATATGATCCAATCAAGAAACTCAGACGGAGGCTTCCATAAACAGCTCTTTAATCAGCTGAATGAAGCAGCTGGGTGTATTTCCTCCACATGCAGGCAGCAGCATGAAAAAGGAAAGCCACACCCCTTGTTTCCACAAAATTTTCTTTTATAGTGTTATTTTAACCAATCAACTTTCAATACCATCACACTTATGTCACTTTCTCTTATCTCTCTGTACTTGCTCTTCTCAACTTGGGCTAATGGAAGGTAAATTTAGATATGTCACCAAGGATCACATTACCGTTACTGGTGGAAAAACAAGATATAAATAAAGCAAAAAAGGAACTGATTGTAAATTTGATAATGGTAGCTAGATTCGTGATGGTTAAATATTGGAGATGGAATTGGGATATTCAAAGAAATGAGTGGTACAATGAAATATGGAATATGGCAATAAATAATAAATTAACAACAGAAATTAAATTTAAAAAGGCGATGATTAAAATAAATAATTATAATGAAATATGGGATGATTTTATAAAAACAGTCTTGGTGCAAGGCAAAGGGAATAAACCTGCTCAAGAATACATGCTGTTTTGGAGGGGATAAAGGCACAATTGAAATATATTGTTAGTTGTTATATGAGAAGAAATATAGGTAATATAAATGGTCTCTAGTGGTGTGGGTGCACTGTAGTATTTGTATTTTTATACTGTTTTTATTTAGATTTATATGTGTTATGTCTGTATTATTTGTATTTGAATAAAATATTTTTTTTTAAAAAATTGTGGAAAGTTCAATTGGACAAACTACTGCCTCCAGATTGATGACCAGGGAAAAGCAATTGAAGACATCACTGATCATATAAAAAAAATATCATATGTCCCGGTTCAAACCTGGACAGATGTCATGGACACAAGCTGGTTTGGAGAGATCTTTGGTGATTGGCTTTTGGGGGTCTTCTGGTTTTGCCATGCTTGATTCCCATTATCCAAAGAATAGTTACGTCTACCATCTCGGGAATGACAGTCATAGCGTCCTCTGTAAGGAGTGACAAATTCCATAAGCCAGCCAAAGTCCTGACTCTCACTGCAATACCAAAGGAATATGCTTCATTGGTTACCAAGTAACAAATTAAAAGGGAGGAATGAAGGGAATTTAGAGAAATCAAAGCAAAGCTGTTTTGCTTCTGTATACTACCCTTGTGCAGAAACCTCCATTAGCCCAAGGTGAGAAGAGCACGTACAGAGAGATAAGAGAAAGTGACATAAGTGTGATGGTGTTGAAAGTTGATTGGTTAAAATAACACTATAAAAGAAAATTTTGTGGAAACAAGGGGTGTGGCTTTCCTTTTTTATGTTGCTACCTGCATGTGGAGGAAATACACCCAGCTGCTTCACTCTGCTGATTAAAGAGCTGTTTATGGAAGCCTTCGTCTGAGTTTCTTGATATAGAGCAGGGGTCTTCAAACTGGGCCCTTTTATGACTCATGGACTTCAACTCCCAGAATTCCTCAGCCAGGCATGTCCCTCCCACACGTAATAATTAGTTATATTTAGAGATGAAGCAATTCTTTTGGCTAGATCAATAAAAAGGTTCTTTGCTACCGAGGGAATCTCAGTTGTGGTTTCCAATTCATCGTAAAAAGAGTGAAAAACTTGAAAATGTTTCTGGGATGGTGGTATAATAGTGTCAACTTGAACATATATCTGCATACAGGGGTCTGCTCTGGTTCATTGATAGACTTCAACTCCCAGAATTCCTCAGCCAGGCACACTGGGTGAGGAATTCTGGGAGTTGAAGTCTATGAGTCATAAAAGGGCCCAGTTTGAAGACTCCTGATATAGAGTCTCAGAATTTTTTATGCCAGAGGACACTTGAAATAATCTTACACTACAATGCAAACTCCTGACCAAGGTGCATCAAAGTTTTTTCAGCCCTTCCTGAAATCACAAAACATAAACTATGTTACAAGACAGAAACTGGGCCAAATTTTAGTAACAATGGTAAAAAAAAATCACATTAAGTCACTATTTAGTTTTCATTGTCAAAATACAGATACGGAAGAGACTCCAGGGCTACGCAATGAACAGGAGAACAACAGGCCTGTAAGTGGGTTAAAAGAATAAAAAAAAACAAGATACTCCTGGGAAATCAGTTAAGCTGGAAGATCTCCAAGACTGCTTGTTGGGGTCCACTCTGAAAAATCCTCAGATCAGAAATTCTTTCAGGGTGCCAACGATTTTCAGGAACATTCACAGCAACTTATTTGGGCACAATCTGGGTCCGCACAGAAAAAGACAGGACCTCCAAAGCCCAGATAAATAAACAGTCCCACTGCCCAGTCCCTCCAGTCTGGTCTCCCAGCCCTTCCCAGTCCCAAGGCAAAAGCTTCAGCCTCCTTCCTGCTCCTCCCCACAATCCCAGTTTTCAGAATCCAAACGGATCAAAGCTTTTCTCCCACAGAAGGAGGGGGGATTGGACCTTCTGTAATCCAGAACCCGCTTCTTCCCCTCGTGGGGCTGAGCAGTGAGGGAGTCTGAAGTCTGCCTGAGAGGAGAAATGTGTGAATGTAACGCAGGTTGGGCGTCCTCACAATCACAAATCCTCCTCAGGTCAGGAAGGGCCGGTCAGTCGGGGCCTGTCTGTGTCCAAGCAAGGCCTTCATTTCAGGCTCTCCACCCGGAGGGGCTTCTCTCCTCCTGCCTCCAATCCAGCCTCTCTGATCCTTCAGATCCTGAGAGTTTGGGAAATGCCTCTGGAAAAGCTGCTGCACTGAGAGTTTCTCTGAGGAGCAACTAGGGACACCCCAAGACCTCCCATCTGGTTACTGAGGAATAAGAGTAAACTTTAAATATTTTTGATTCTGCAAACTGGCCCATGCTAAGAAACTTCACTTGATAGTTTCTCCGAACAAACAGCTAGGAACACCCCAACGACCCCTTTCTAATTACAAAGAATAATAAATTTTAAATATTTTTAGTTGTGCAAACTGTCCCACGTTGGTGCCTGTCCTAGAAAAAAAAGCCCAGGGGATACTGGGGTTTAGGAAGGGGGTGGGGGGGCAAGATCGAGGAGAAGGTGACAATCAAGAAGGAGGGCTCTTTAGGAAGACCATTCAAGGAACGCTTCTCTGTACACTCTTGCTCTGCCGCATTCACACGGCAGCCTTACCCGGACCGCTCCATTGCACCAGCCTCTGCCTCGGCCAACACACGGAACCCAGTCCGGCTCCTCCCAGCACCAGAAGCCACAAAGAGCCACCGAGCCCGGCCAAAGGCAGGAAAGGCGACCCAGGAGGAAGGGTTGTACGAAGGCAGCCAGGAGGTTCATGAATTGACCTGATCCCGTGCAAACGCCGCTTTCCGACAAGCTCCACTTTGGGGAAAGGAAAGAATTGCGCTCGGGGGCGACCAGGTAGACTTGACTGAGATCTGGAGGGGCGACCCTTGCTCTGTCCGCAAAGGGGTTCTCCTGCGGGGGGTGGGGGGAGGCAGCAGCAGAGTCCCTTCCACGCTTTGGGGTCCCTTCTGAGAGGGGCCAGAGGGGGAGGGGGAACGGACTAGAAAGAGGACCGAATCAGAATTCTCTTCCTGGGAATAATCTTTTGGGGGAAAGAAGGGAGAGAGACACAGAGAGAGATTCCCTGGATGGATTCCCACCAGCAGAAAAAGGGGGCGGAACCTCCGACGCCCCGAAAGGGACTCACCGAGGCAGCTCTCCCGCAGGGCGACCGCCACCAACACCAGGAGCGACAGAGAGCGCAGCGCCATCCTGGCCGCGATCCTCGAACTGCGATCCGCTCTCCAGGCAGAGAAAGACGCGCTCCGAGTGATCAACAACGCAACAACCCAGAGCAGAAACGGGTGATTGGTCAAGCTCAACCAGTAGAAAAAAGGTTTTCCGATTTCGTCATTGTTGCTAGGCGGACGTCCAGGCGCAACCGGCTGGACAGGCGTGGAAAGGAAAGTGAAAGTTCCATCAGGAAATCCCCTTCCAGGCCTTCCGCCTCTTGGGGGGGAGGGGCAGACATGGGGAGGGGGGGTTGGGAAAAGCGGGAGGGTTCTCTGACCCTGGGGGGAGGGGCGCAGACGAGGGGGAGGGGAGACCCCGCAGAGCCCTTCGCAGCCGGGATCCGGTGGAGCTGCCAAAAAAGCCAGGGCAGTCCTGGGCTGCATCACCAGAGAGATAACGTCAAGGTCAGGAGAAGCCACAGCACCGCTTTCTCCTGCAGAAGTGAGGCCACACCTGGCACACTGGGCCCAATTCTGCTCACCAGGAATACAAAAAAGATGCTGAGACCCTGGAAAGCCTGCCGAGAGGAGCGAATAAATCCTAGGATGAAAGGTTGAGCAAGCGAAGTACGTCCAGCCTATGGAAGAGAAAGACTAGAGAAGGAACCTGATAACTATCTTCCTGTAAGGCAAGGGTCTTCAAACTCGGCCCTTTGATGACTCGTGGACTTCAACTCCCAGAATTCCTCAGCCAGGCACGCTGGCTGGGGAATTCTGGGAGTTGAAGTCCACCAGTCATAAAAGGATCAAGTTGAAGACCCCCTGGTCGTGCCCAATTGCAACAGCACAAGACAGCAAGGGGACAAGGGAGCAGTATGATTGGCTTTTAAATGGTTAAACAATCGTTATGTGCCATCAATTCGTTAGGTGTCGTCATTTCATTTGAATCCAGGTCCGTGACTCCTTTTGTTCGAGGTAAATGGTGTTTCCCTGCACAAGCGTTAATAGTGCCCAAAAGCGAGATAGCGTTAATTAGGGTTAGCCCAGATGGATCCAATTTCTCTTTGTTCCAGTATTTGAGGGGATCCACTATTTTTCCAAAGGCCCGGAGGACAGGAGAAGGAATAAGGGGGTGGAAGCTTGTTAAAGAGAGGTCTAGCCTAGAAGTAAGGAGAAATTTTCTGACAGTGAAAACAATTAGTCATGGTATGGTTTTCCCTCCTGGAGTTGTTAGAGCTGCATCACTGGAGGTTTTCAAAAATAGACTGGACAACCATTTGACTGGGATGGTGTAAGGTCTCCTGCTTTGAGCAGAAGGTTGGACTAGAAGACCTCTGAGGTCCCTCCCAGCCCTATGAATCTATTTTCCAGGTGAGAAACCTCAAGTGATCTTTGCTCCGGATAAAGCATAGGGTTTCCTGCCTGAGCGAGGGGGGGTTGGACTAGATGACCTCCAAGGTCCCTTCCAACTTTATTATTATTAATAATCATAATCATAATATTCATTTGGCGGACTTTCTAATACAGCGCCCAGTCCCTGATTGCGGGAGCAGCAGATGACCTTGGTTCCTATGGGACAGAAGATTATTATGACTAGTGAAGCACCTGGGCAAGCTCCCCTCCCTCCCTCCCTCTCTCCCTCCGGTGTGGCAACCTAGAATGACGAGAAAGATGGCTGCAGCCAGGCTCATGGTAGAGTTGACAGCAAGAAGTTTATTGAAAAATACATTCTTGCAAGAGCGGCTGGCTAGCAAGTTGGCACAGCCAAAAAGAGATTTCGGCATGATTTTATTCACTAGGCCCAAAGCCGAAGTCCCTCCCTTGCAATGCCATTTGACAAGGACCACAAGGTTTACACCCTAACCAGAACGCCTAACTCACCCATGTGAATCCCCCACCCGTGTTTATATTCCTCCCCACCCTTTGCCTAGTTCCCCACTGGCTTTGGCCCTTCCTAAGTTTCTCTGTTAGCAGTGTGTGAAGGTTTGCCTGGTTCCGTTTTGTGGGAACGCACCTGCACAGGCATGAGCGGTTAGTGTCGTTATTATGTGCAAGCTCTTGTGGTTAAAAACTGTCAGCTAGTTTTTTTAATCCTCATTTCTGAACCTCCCACAGGGGATCCTTTAGACTGATTCCTTGCAAGGGAGAATGCAATTCCCAACCCCTTTTGGTGTCCCCCCCCAAAAAACTTTTAGAGCAGTGGTTCTCAACCTTTCTAATGCCGTGACCCCATAATATAGTGCCCCATGTTGTGGTGACCCCCAAGTGGGTGTGGCCACCAATAAGAGGGAGTAGGACAGCTAGGGAAAAGGGAAAAAAATGGCGGACAGCATGGTTTGGCGACCCCCATGAAATGGTCATTCGACCCCAAATGGGGTCCCGACCCACAGGTTGAGAATCACTGTTTTAGAGAGAGCTAAAAATAAACAGCACCGTTTCCAATCGTTATGAAAAGAAAAGCATTCAAACTAAAATTAGCCGTGCAATAGTCCAAAACCACATGTCAAAATAATTGCCATGCAATTTTGGAAGGATTAAACGGACCCTTCTTGGTAGCAATCAGCTGTGATATGTTCTTTGTCAACAGGGCTTTCTGCCCTTTTACAAAAGGACCTGGCTACATAGCATCATACAGATGAACTTGGTCCATCTCAAAAAGCTAAGCGGGGGTGTCAGACATGATGGGAGACCAACAGAAGAAACTGGACTGCCAGCTAGACTGAGTCATATTTGGAATTTATCACAAGAAGACAGTGGAAATTCACTTCCGTCTGCTGGTAAATCTCCTTGAATTATCAGAAAATTGAATAAGCAAGATTCAGAAGAAATGTTTATGATTCATGAATTAATGTGCCTGACTTTTTATGTTCCTTTTTCAATTCTTATTCACCTTTTCTCTTGTTCTCTTTCTCTCTCCCTCTCTCCCTGTCCCTACCTCTCAGATATAATAATAGTAGTAGTAGTAGTAACAACAATAATAAAGTTGGAAGGAACGTTGGAGGTCATCTAGTCCAACCCCATGCCCAGGCAGGAAACCCTGTACCATTTCAGACAAATGGCTGTCCAGTCTCCTCTTAAAAACTTCCAGGGTTGGAGCATCCACAATTTCTGGAGGCAGGTGGTTCCACTGATTAATTGTTCTCACTATCAGGAAATTTCTCCTTAGTTCTAGGTTGCTTCTCTCCTTGATTAGTTTCCATCTGTTGCTTCTTGTCCTGCCTTCAGGCGCCTTGGAAAATAGCTTGACTCCCTCTTCTTTGGGGCAACCCCTGAGATATTGGAACACTGCTATCATGTCCCCCCTCGTCCTTCTCTTCATTAAACTAGACATACCCAATTCCAGCAGCTTTTCCTTATATGTTTTAGCCTCCAGTCCCCTGATCATCTTTGTTGCTCTTCTCTGCACACTTTCTAGAGTCTCAATGTCTTTTTTTACATTGTGGTGGCCAAAACCGGATGCAACACCCACACAGAGAGCTAGTTGTTCACATATTTGAATCCCACCACTGTATCTCTCTCTCTCTCTCTCTCTCTCTCTCTCTCTCTCTCTCTCTAAAAAGTGACATGAGCGTTTTTCATACTTATGACCTTTGCAGGATCCCCATGATCACGTGATCAAAATTCCAAAAGCTGGGCAACTGGCTCATACGTATGACTGTTGCTGTGTCCCAACGTCATGTGGTCACCTTTTGAAAAATTTTAACAAGCAAAATCAATGGGGAAGCCAGATTCACTTATTACATTACTAACTAATTAAAGAGCCGAGGTGGCGCAGCAGTTAGAGTGCAGTACTGCAGGCCACTTTAGCTGACTGTGTTCAGCAGGTCAGCGGTTCAAATCTCACCGGCTCAAGGTTGACTCAGCCTTCCATCCTTCCGGGGTAGGTAAAATGAGGACCCAGATTGTTGGGGGCAATGTAAATATATATATACATTGCTTACTGGTGTACACCGCTTAGAGAGTGCTTGCCCTTAAAGCGGTATATAAGTCTCATAAATAAATAAATAAATAAATAAACTTATCAACTACGGTGATTAACTTAACAATTCTGGCAAGAAAGGTTGTAAAATGGGGCAAAGCTCACTTAACCAATGTCTCACTTAACAATGGAAATTTTGGGCTCAACTGTGGTCGTAAGTCAAGGACTGCCTGTATATCTATATACAAACATATACACATACACATACATATACATACATACACGTACATACTGTTGCTAACTGGCTCTCAATATATAGGCAGTCCTCAATTTATGACCACAATTGAGTCCAAAATTTCTGTTGCTAAGCAAGACAGTTGTTAAGTGAGTTTTGCCCCACTTTACAACCTTTGTCACACTTGTTCAGCGAATCACTGAAGTTGTTAAATCAGTAACACAGTTGTTAAGTGCATCTGGCTTCCCCCATTGATTTTGCTTGTCAGAAGGTCGCAAAAGGGGATCACGTGACCTTGGGATGCTGCAAGCGTTATAAATCTGAGTCAGTTGCCAAGCATCTGAATACTGATCTGGTGACCATGGGGATGCTGCCACGGTCGTAAACATGAAAAAGGTTATAAGTTACTTTTTTTCAGAGCCGTTCTAACTTCTGTGAGGAATAAAAATTCAACTCCAAGGGTGTTGGAAAACAAAGCAAGTTTTATTAAAGCTTTTGCAATAGCTGGAGGAACTCTTGGTAATGGCTAATCCCAGAGTCTACACCTGAATCAATTTTTGCATAGGTTTTTATACCCTGCCACATCCTTCCAAAAATGACCCCAGTCGATAGGCCCATCCGGTCACATGCTTTCCGACCACCTAGCAACCATTACAGTGACCAAACCCTCCAATTATTAGATCAAAAAACGCCCTTTGTTCCTGTCTTATCTTCCCTTCCTTGGCTGTGGCATGATTTGTAACATCCAGCTCACTAAGGGTATAACCCACGGGTCGGCAACCCGCAGCTCCGGAGCCTCCCCCCGCCATTTTCAGAGAGAGAGACAAGGAAAGAGAGAGGCTCTCTCTCTCTCTCTCTCTCTCTCTCTCTCTCTCTCTCTCTCATGTGGACTTGCCCCCTTGCAGGGCTCCTGATTGGCCCTGTGCTCGGGTGCCCCACCCCCTGGGAGAAGGGCAGCCAGGAAGTCCCTTTCCCAG